TGTTTTGACCAAGCGGGCCCGGGGTCGATTTTGGAATTTTTGGAAGAAAGGTTGGGAATCTATATTTAGGCATTGGGTATGATTTGTTTAGCTATTATTGATACTATAAAGTCGTTATTTCATAGATTTGATTGAGTTGGAGCCGAATTCGAGAGGGAAAGCGGTCGTTGTGGATTGATTTAGCCGTGGAAGTTGAGGTAAGTATTTGATCTAACTTTGGCTTGAGGGAATAGGATTAGAGTATTGTTTGCTAATGGCTAATTGTCGAGTACAGTGTATAGGCATGGTGACGAGTATCTATATACTGGTGTCTAGTATGATCGTGAGTCCTTATTTGTGCTTATTCTAATTTTGTTGTGACTCTTCCTTGTGTGATTGATGGTTTCTATAAAATGTGAAGAGTATGAGAAAGAATTATGATTTGTGAACTCCTGGAGCATTGGCTCGAATGATAAAGTAATTATTTTGTAAGAAATGAAAGAAAGAGAAAGAAATGTGATTATTCCCTTGCCGGGCTGTATTCGTATATTGATTATCTCCCTTGCCGGGATGTGAGAGTTGTTGTTGTTCCCTTGACGGGATTTAGCTGTTTACTTGTGTTTCCCTTGCCGTGACTTCTATTACTGTTTGTCTATCCCCTCGCCCCATTGGTTGTGATTGTTGCTTGGGTGAGGAAGAGTGATAAAGCACGAAGGTTGATGCCGTGCACGATTCGTGTTGAGAATATGTTAATGCACGAAGGAACATTCCGTGCCATGTTTTAATTATTAATGCACGAAGGAACATTCCGTGCAATGTTTTGATTATTAATGCACGAAGGAACATTCCGTGCCATATTTTGATTATTAATGCACGAAGGAGCATTCCGTGCCATGTTTTGATTATTAATGCACGAAGGAACATTCCGTGCCATGTTTTGATTATTATTGCACGAAGGAACATTCCGTGCCATGTTTTGATTAATAATGCAAGAAGGAACATGCCGCGCACTTTATTTGATTGTTTTGGTAAGTACGAGAGTAAAAGCACGAAGGGTGATGCCGTGCACTTGTCTTTGATTTTCCTGATGTTTTTTTTTGCTGATAATTGAGTTACGTTGTCCTCTACTTCTATTTATTGATTTTCTTGTTGCTATCGGTTCAAGTGCATTAGTTGTCTTATTCCGTTATTAATGAGTTTCTTTATGTTGGCATTTTTCTTTATTATGTTACTTGTTATTATCGGCTCGAGGTATCCTTACGCAACATTATGCATTGAAATTAGGCTATAATTGCCACATGTTTATGTGATTTAATTGCTTCTTGACATTTAGCATACTAAATATTAAATTGCCTATTTGCTCCTTAAAGTCCATAATTAATTGCTACTTGTCATTACTTATTTTCTTCAGTGAGTCATAATTATTGTGTACTTGTTGTCTTATGAATTCGTATAAATTTTTGCGTTTGTTGGAGTAAATTTCATTTGGAAGGACTGTTGATTTAATGAAATGGGAGCGGGTGGTACGCCTACCACAAGATATTGATGAGATGGGAGCGGGTGGTACGCCTACCACGAAAACATTGAGAAATGGGATCGGGTTGCACGCCTGCAACGAGATGTGTACAGACAGTGAAATCTGCTTTTATTCTCTTTATCCGTGTTAGAGATAATTTATTGATGTTCCTTATTATTCTCTTTAACTAGTATTCGCACCGGCGCGATGCGCGAATTGTATCAAAGAATATTAAATTGTAATCGGATTTATTTGAACATATTGAATTGTATTGTTCTTATAAATTTCCACGATCATTTATCAATAACCAATAATATTTATTTGTGTTATTTAATTCATCTTATTTTATAAATTAAAGTAATACATCGCCATTATTTCTATCTCCTTCTTTGTGCATTTTTTCTATTTATTGACGATTAATTTTTCAGTTAGTTACCTATAATTTAAAGAATACCATATTTAAGATCTAATTGAGACTTTGAATTTTACAATAATGAGATAACAATTCTAGTTCTTTTGACCAAACCCTCGGTGAAATACAGAATTGAATTGTTACATGCTTAATGTTAAAAAAATTGGTAACCGTCTCTATGAAGAAATCATAAAGTGAAAGCTAATCAGTTGTGGCAAAAAGAATATTTCAACCAATTCATGCACTGATAATATGACTTTTGTTTGGTGTAAGTATAACAAATTTTTTTTCTCCATAAGCTTATTCAATAGATAAATTTTTTGAATTTAATGTAGTTGATGAGCCTCATGAAATGACACATACATACTGTATGAACTTCTATTCTATTATGGTTAATGCCGCCACTAAATTTGTTCAACGAATAGCAGAAAAATATTAAAGAAGAATGAAACCTTCTTGATGTTTGCATTTTCTGCATTTCAAAAACGTCTATTGCAAGCTAATGCATCATAAATTCACCACTGCTATCCATCATCTGATTATAAATAAAACTAACTCCAATCACACAAATTAAAAACTGACAATAGTAATTCAAAAGCCAACTATAACAACGCTCAAATCTAATACTTTATGAAGGTAACAATGTATTACTATTAACCAATAGCTTAAACACCCTAATAATAAAATAGTAACAACAATATATTGCCAGTGTAATCAACAAATAGAGTTTGGTGAGAGTAAGATATACGCAAATCTTACCCCTACCTTTGTAGGATAGAGAGACTATTTCTGATAAACTATTTTGTACAACATTAATACATCCAAATAACTCGAAAAATACATTGAATTTATGCAAATTTCCTTGTATGTTTCCTTCAAAAGAACACAATCCATTTTGCTACTACAAAGAGATTCCTCCATATATGTATATTTTAAATAATATCAAGAAGAAAAATAAACTTTGAATGGAGAGACTTCTACATTTGAAATTATTTGTATGTAAATAGCATATGTACCTCACCTAATAATCTAAAAGGAACAATCTATATAGCCTACCAACTTACCAAGGATACCTTTTGGTTGTAAGTTTGTTTTTCCTGCAGCCAAAAATTAAATATCATAGTATTAAGCATACTGGACAATATTTTCAAATTAAATTATAAAAGTAAATATGATGATAGAAGAATATCAAAAATTAATTAAGAAATTCTTTTACAGAAGAACATCTAACCTTATGTTGCTAATTTTTTATTATAAATGCTCTTATCTAGAAACAAAAGAAAGAAGCGTATAATTTCTTTCAAGTACAGAAGATGGTGTTCTTGATCTTTGGTACGTAACAGATCATCTACAAAAATAAATTCGTATGATTCAAATATCATAAATTAAAAATACTAAACTATGGACTGCAAAAACAAAGTCCATATGTTCCAATAGACTGCAACTTATTTCACCCTGAATCTAACTCATCCTTCTTACAAAAATAACAACAATTTATCACAAAAAACAATCTTGTGATACAAATATTAATGCAGTTTATTAAGTTTTAATACATTATATATGCCTATTTACTACTGAATATAAACCCTTGAATTGTAATCAAGTTCTTTAGTGTATCCTTCGAAGAATCCGGGTTTGACCAGATCTAAAATTTTATTGTCAAATATATCTATCCACATATATAAGTAAAATAAGTGTCATCTTAAAGGACAAATTAAAAGTGAGCATGTACTTACCTCGCATTCCTTCTCTTCATCTACGCCTTGAATAGTATTGAAGTCGGGATCCTAATAAATATAAAAAAATTATTGAGTTCGAAAAAGACTTAAAATAATAGAATTAACAAAAATCTGCAACGTAACTACATGTTTTTGCTATTGATTACCCCATGAATATGCATATAGAAATTAAAAAAATATACGAAGAGCAAATAAAAAAATTCAGATTTGAAAATAAAAAAACGTAGAAACAAACGTGATATATGCTGTAGTATATCACTGGGAAACATATTTGAGCATACATATGTTTGGTGCACAAATTCTTCAATTGAGTTTTGGTACTGATTATCCCATCAATACAGACATGCAAATTAAAAGACAGAGTTACCAAAACAAATTATCGATAATAACAAATTTTTAATACCTTTTTATCTTATAGAACCTATTCAATCGAGAAAGTAGTGTCTAAATTGTAACAATCTGCTTCTTCCATAATATTGCATTCTTGAAATTTTTATAGCCTTAATTCAATTTTTGCAGAAATTTTATGGTTTCTTGAATATTTTATAGCAGTGGAAGATTTGAATTTAAGAACACTATCAATCGGAGAAATAGAAGTTGGGCGGCAGTTTGTTTTTGTGAGTTTCATGTGCGTATGTTTCATGAGTTATGCGTGGTTGAGCAACTGTCCATTATCTTTAGATTAGGTTTTGTAGAGAAAATTTAGGAAAAGTGGGTTTAAAATATGTAACTTCTTTTGTTTTAAGAAATATCCCAACAAACGTGGGACTCTATGTAGATGTAAACTAAATTGAAAGTTTTAAACTTTGTGAACTTCTTTAAACAAATTAAAAAAAAAACACAAAAAACGTAAAAAAAGAGAGCAGTTTTTTAGGTTTAACGAATTAAAAAAAATATCCCAACAAACATGGGATTGTAAACTAAATTGAAAGTTTCAAGCGTAGTGTACTTCTTTTAAAAAAGAAAAAAACAGTTTCTTTAAACATGGCCTCCTTTTGCGTTGGAGGTTTTTAAATTATTTTTAAACTATCCCAACAAACGTGGGATTGTAAACTAAATTGGAAATTTCAAGCGTAGTGTACTTCTTTTAAAAAGGAAAAAAACAGTTTCTTTAAACATGGCCTCCTTTTGCGTTGGAGGTTTTTAAACTATTTTTAAACTATTGGAGGGCAAATTTTTAAACTATTTTTAAACCTCCAAATTAGTTGAAGGTTTGTCCTAAAATTGGCCACATGTTCATTTTCTGTTTTTACACTTGTCACAATAACATGAGTTTGACTCTCCTATTCTATATATATACATTTTAAGTTAACCAAAAAAAAAAAAAAACACGAAAAAGCCCATTTCAGCAAGACTTTAGCAAAAAATTTTCTAAAACCAATGCACCTATATTTTGAGGGGACAACCGAGTCATCAAGTGGAGTTAGAGTTCTAGCTATGGATTTAGTAGAATATATATTAAGAAATTCACTGCATAGCTTTTATAAAATCCAGAACCCAAAATCTAAACCGCCTCTGTATCTTGTTCCTTAAGTGGAAAGTCTTGTTCTTGATCATCTAGTAAATAAGCAGTAGTGTTAATTGAAGAAGAAGATGGTGGCGGTGGCTCCTGATTCTAATTGTAGCAGAGATGAGAAGATGAAGAAAATCTTCGACAAATTCGACGTGAACAAAGATGGCCATCTCGACATGACGGAGGTGGTGGAATGGGTCAAGGCTTTAGAACCCGAATTGAATAACAATGTGCAGAGCATTCAGTTCAAACTTTCAAGCTACCTCACCCCCAATTACTACGCTGTCCGAGCTGGTAATGTTAGCCTAAACTATATTGGCTTCACCCGCATTTATGCTCAAGGTTTTCGTAATGTTGATCATGACTTCAACTCTCTCGGCCTCCAATTTCAACCCAATTCTGCAATTCAGCAGGTAATAATTCTTTAATTTTTTTGGTTTTTTTCCACAACCCTTATGTCACATGTAGGAGTGGCAAACTGGTAGGGTCGGATATGGGACGGGTTAGAAAATGGATAGTGCAAAAACAAACAAATTATCTTACCCAACCCATATATAATACGGATAGAAAATGTATTAACCGGCGGTAATATCCATGGCTTTATGATCACTTTTGGAGAGTTTCTTGTTTCCCAGTCTTGAGGAACCCCAAGTTTTTACAAATATAAAAGTTAAACTCATTAGTTATTCATTTTCTAAGTGACCGTTTTTAAAAAAGTTCATTATCCAACCCATTTTTTAGTCGATAATATGGGTGAATAACTATTTTTTTCAGTCCGTTTTGCCACCACTAGTCACAGGTAAGCAACTCGATACCAGTAGAATATATGGATTTGAGGCTCTAGCTAGGGTTTTAATAAAGGCTTTACTACTTGCATTCCCAAATTAATACTGTAATGTTTGCTTTAATTTGTGTGTGTTAGTTTTCAAGGAGTGTCAGTCTCTCACCCACAAAACAAATAGAGAAGAAGAATACGACACAAATATCTAACCAAGTTCAGGCAACGCCACAAATGTCTAACCAGGTTCAGGCGATGCCACAAATATCGAACCAAGTTCAGGCAACGACACAAGTGTCTAATCAAGTTCAGGCAACGGCACAAGTGTCTAACCAAGTTCAGGCGACGCCGCAAGTGTCTAATCAAGTTCAGGCAACGGCACAAATATCTAAGCAAGTTCAGGCAATGACACAAATGTCTAACCAAGTTCTGGCAGAGACCCGATTATCTCTACTTCAGGCTGCCCAAGTTCTGTTAATGAAACCATTATCTAACCAAATTCAGGCAACGCCACAAATATCGAACCCAGTTCAGTCAACAACAAAAGTGTCTAATCTAGTTCAGGCAACGGCACAAGTGTCTAATCGAGTTCAGGCGACGCCACCAGTGTCTAACCAAGTTCAGGCAACGGCACAAATATCTAACCAAGTTCGGTTAGTGTCACAATTATCTAACCAAGTTCAGGCAAGTATTTCATGAAGCTTCAATCTTAAGTAGTCGCTGGGATTGTTATATTATTTTCTTTTCCTTTTTCCAACTTCTTTCTTTTATTAGGTTACAAAGCTTGTGTTTTTCAATGAAATTTTTATAGGGGGGAAACTACAGTTTTGCTGGGCAGGTGAATAATTACAGAAACACACTGCAACAAGCGGTACCAACACTGAATAATTGCAGAAACACAGTGCAACAAGGGGTACAAACACCTCAGCTGCCTGGGCAGGTGAACAATTATAGAAATACAGTGCAACAAGTGGTACAAATACCTCATCTGCCTTTAATATTATTGGAGAACATTTTGATAATTTTGCTTTTTAGGCACCATCTAGGCTCAAATCACAAAGTATTTTACTAAACTCCAATCTTAAATAATGTTTAATCTTCGCTCTGCAAGGCCAAATTGATTATAGATGAAATTTAATATAAAAGCGGTAGACTTTACTGCTCTATAAAATTCAGTAACCATGCGTGAAACTAACACATAATTTTTAGAGCAGTTGGTGTAGCGACACTGTGCAAAAACTGCTTTACTCTATTTGTACTGAGCTGAAACTTTAAGTTCTTTATAATATTCACAGCGTCCTTCTTTACAACTATCAGAATGCTGTAGCTGGCGTTAAGCCAAAAGGAGAGTATAACGGGCCTGATCCCCAACTGGCTGCTAGTCTTGAAAAAGAAATATTGGAATCTAATCCAGGGGTGAGATGGGATGATGTTGCGGGACTAAATGAAGCAAAGAGGCTTCTACAGGAAGCAGTGGTACTCCCACTGTGGATGCCTGAATACTTCCAGGTACTGCAGATAGTTTATTCTGATTTTTAGACTACTAAATAATGATACATCTGTGTTTGGTACGACGGAAGTCATATTTTAGGAAAATATTTTTCATCCTTTTCCGGTGTTACAAAAGGGAGAATGATGTCATTTTCTTTATAACTACCTTAACTTTCAACTTCATATTCATCTTCTCCAACTAACATTTAGACGTTACTATTGAATCTTACTTCTTAAAAAATTTCATCAAAATACTTCCGAATTTGTTAATTTCATTATTATTAATCTGTAATGATATATTTACAGAAAATATTTTTCATTGACCAACCAAATACCGAAAAAATTTTCTAGGAAAAAATGGTGAAGCATTTTCATCTGTTTTTGGGAATAAGTGTTTCTTTGGAGCAAAATAACTTCCGCCATTACCACACACACTTATGTTTCCTTTTCTTTTGCCTTGTTACAAACTGTTCATTAGATGTGGTAACGGTCCTTGAAGTTAATTAAGAAAATAAGCTGGTAATAGTTTTTGCTATTGAAAACTGAATTGTCTCATATACCTTGTCATCACATAACGAGGATACAAACTGATCCAACGAAAGTCGCAACTTCTTGCTATGTACATGTTTTGACTTGCAGCTATGCACATGTTGTAACTACATGGCTCATTAATAAAAAAAATAATGAATACTTATATTATGAAACTTCTATATAGTTCACATATTCAATGTTACTTGCAGGGAATCAGGAGACCTTGGAGAGGAGTTCTTATGTTTGGTCCTCCTGGCACAGGGAAAACACTCTTGGCCAAAGCTGTTGCTACAGAGTGTGGGACAACATTTCTGAATGTTTCTTGCTCTTCGTTGTTGGCAAAATGGTACGGGGAGAGTGAACGACGGGTACGGTGCTTGTTTGATCTTGCTCGTGCTCGTGCTCCAAGTACGATTTTTATTGATGAGATTGATTCTCTTTGCAGTGCCAGAGGGTAAGCAATCTGTTCTTTCTAAAATGATTTCATATGCATGTGATAGCTGAGGATTTCTCTCATTGTCTTGCTGTTGTGTAAGGTTTATTTTCATCACCATATGTGATAAATTTGACTACTGGGCATAGATTATATGTTACGGGTCTACACGTCATAGTAACTAGACTTTAATCATCCAATAGACACCTGATTGGTGATGGACCGTATATTAGTTTGATGACCAGTTCGTTCTTGCTTTTTTCTGAGTAAATAAGTGAAGGGCCTCAACTAATCCAAAGCCTTGCATAGGAGCTGCAGAGAGCAGAGAAGGTTAAAACAATTTGAAACCTTAATAGAATACCTAGTAGAAGGAAATTAGAGGCTGTATGTTTTATCGGAAACTGGATCATACTGTAGTTTCACTTGAGCAGCTTAGTCTTGTCTGAACTGATAGTCCCATCCATACATACTGGCAAGTCTGTTTTTCAACCATAGAGATTTTTATCAAGCTACCAAATAATGCGTCTGAGCAGTACCGGTGACTTTAAACTGATATTTGCTAGATCATAGATTGTTATATTATCTTTATCAGGTCACCGATTAATGTGTTATCATAAAGATTTATATCTGTATTTTAAGTAACTTGATTGTGAACAATTTTTGTAACATTATTGCATCCTAAATATTTGGTCCTGCTCCTCTTTCTTTCACCTACCTCGTGCATTTGCACACATCCTGCAATAACATTTATGCATGTGCTCAACAATCAACATTAATTTGAGCATAAAATGTTCTTAAGTGTGTTAAACTTATTATTTTTTAGTTTTACTTCTAGTGGTAAAACTTCATGAACTCTGGACCTGTTTCTCAGGGCTCCTGGAGAGAATGAAGTATCCCGAAGGGTGAAGTCTGAACTTCTAGTTCAGATCGATGGGTTGAACAACTCACTAATAATACAACAGGCAAACCGGTCACAGTTTTGGCAGCAACAAATTTCCCCTGGGGTCTTGATGAGGCACTAAGGTTAACTTTACTCCTTAACTTCCTAGTCAATATTAGCTTTTTTAGTCTGATTTGTTTTCTGTTTCGTATCTGGATCTTGGCTAATTGGTGATTCACTGTACTACTGTAGGAGGCGGCTAGAAAAGCGGATTTACATCCAGCTTCCTGATTTTAAGAGCCGTAAGGAGCTTATAAAGATAAACTTGAAATTAATCACGGTAAGCTCTCATTATTGGTGTCGGCTAGTTTCTTAATTTGGAGGTACTGTGCTTCATTGTCTTGAAAGAAGTTCATCTGCTATATTATCATCATATATCTCTACTTAATTTGGAGGTACTGTGCTTCATTGTCTTGAAAGGAATGAGTATGATCACACTGAAAATTTTCAACTTACAAAGAGAATATACATACCATAATAATTACAAGGTTCACTCATGGATGTCTCATGGGGATCAGATCCATGCTTGTAGTGCTATGTAGATAGAGCACAAAGGTTCCGAAACTAGCCAAAAGTTTACACATATTTTATGGTGTGGTCCTAACAGACATTGTTCCTTCTTTGGCTGGTAGCATAGTGAATTCAACAAAATGAGTAGGAACATGAAGATTGATTTGTTGGTTAATATTGGCCAGCTTGGTACTATCTTTAGCTAGAAGGTGTGCCACATAGTTTGCTTCCCCGAAGCTATGCCTGATGATAGGGCTCTCCAGCTGGATCATTAACCACCTGCAAGAATCAAAGTAGGTTATACAAGGGAGAATCATTTTCAAGTAGGTTTAACACCTCCATGGAATCTGTCTCCACTTCCAGTAGCTTTAAGCAAACTACATTATGTTATTGCCGATTATATTCAGTGATTATTAATAGTATTAGCAATGATTACGATATTAGGATATATAAAAGAAAAAAAGAAAAAGAAGAAGAAGCTAATAATAAGAGACCTTTTGGTTGCATCTCAATAGAATTTTTAAATTACTAGAACGACAAGGGTGGTGCTGGAAATCTGTAAGAACTTTAAACATAAATTTATTGTTACGTTGTTACTTGAGCTAATCGTCATCCAGGATTTAGAGTTTGTGTGATCTCATTATATGTGTAAACAAATTTTGAATTTTAATTTTTGCTCCGGTTTTCCGATTGATATGTTTGTTGTTGTCCTTCTTTTATCTTTTCCGAGCCGAGGGTCTACCGGAAACAGCCTTCTTGAAGGTAGGGGTAATGTCTGCGTACACTCTACCCTCTCCAACCCTCCCCAGACCTCACTAGTGGAATTATACTGGGCTGCTGCTGTTGTTGTTGATGCGGCGTTTGAGCCGAAAGAACTGTGTTAGTGGAACCATAGAACCGGCCCTAGATTTGTCTTTGATTATTATTGCTCCTCGAGATTGAACAGAAAAAATTGTTGATACTAATAATCTGTATCATGTATCATGAATGGCAGTTAGCTCCTGACCTGGATATTGACCAAGTGGCACGAAGAACAGAAGGTTACAGTGGAGATGATCTAACAAATATCTGTAGAGATGCTTCTTTAAATGGGATGAGACGTAAGATCGCAGGGAAAAACCCAGATGAGATTAAGAACATGTCCGAGGCCGAGATTTTGGAAATTCCAGTTATGATGGATGACTTACTAGAAGCTCTAGTTAAAATACAACCCACAGTTTCTAGAGGGGACATTGAACGACATGAGAAATGGTTTTCAGAATTTGGATCAACGTAGAAAATCAAGTAAATGGCAAGTTAGGAGTGCTTAGAAAATCAAGTAAATGCAAGTTAGAAGTGCTTTTTTTTTTGTGTCCAGAAAGATACAATTATTAGTGAGTCATTGGTCATATGTCGCAGTTGTTATTCCTTCAGTTTTGTGCTCTACCTATTTTGACATTGTCGATTGTCTGTATGTATATGAAACTGCGAAAAGGCTCACCATCGGCATGGTTTATAACACCGCGATATTTTACAATCTACTTGATGTGATTCAGATTTAAGAAGCAAAAAGGGATCACCCCATTGAAAGTGTCTTACCATGAACAACCTTTTGTTCAATTAAATTAATCAAAGGAGAGTTGTTCAATTTTGTAAAATAAAAATAATAAATAATTTTGGACTTAAATAAACGATAGAAGCTCAGATATTTCGAATCAGCAAGATATCTAGCCTCATGGAAATGAGATTAAATGATGCATAGATATAGAAATTAACCCTTTTCTCTTTATTAGGAATAGGGAGATGACCAAAGAGACGATAACGAAGACCGAAGATCCAAAAGATAGAGTTGTAAAAAATAATTTTCTCCGCTTCATTAGGAGCATAAATCAATACATTTGGAGTAATTAATTAACATAGCATATTTGTTCTAGTCTCTTTCATTACTTTGCTTTTGCATAACAAGAAGCATAAAAGATTCATATAGTCTCTCTAGCTAATTGCAATATCTTGTTGAACATTCTTCCAAGCAGCTTCCCATCAGTTTCGAATCTACAAATTTGTTAAAATATGTCACAGATTACATTATATAAACTTCATGACATGTCAGCAAACATAGCGAATTGTTGAAATAAAGAAAGTTAAGGAAAGAATTATACCTTCTCTAAACTTGGAGCAACGTTCAATTGAACAAGTAAAATTACAGTTCAATACTTGAGGAGTAACGGAAAGTTGGCATTGTTTCAGGCAATCGTCAAGGCAATGGGGAGTGCTACTTAAGGCACATGCAAGTATACATTTTGCTTTGCAAGATATTCCATCGTCGCCAACAGCTTCATTATTTGTGGTTTCAGCATTTGCTAAAATAGACACAATAAGGAAAACTGCCACTAGAACTTTTATAAAATTCATGATTTGTAATATGATGCACTTCCTCTCCTCGATTGATTTTTTTTTTTTTACTTTGTACCTTGGATGTTTGATGAAAGTAAAGTACTGCTATTTATAGTAAGAGCTCTTTGTTAAATTTAAGACAAATTACACTATAATCTTATCATAAAAATTAGATTACACCAAAATAAATTATTGGGTCAGGCCTTTCATGTTTTTCAAGTTGTGTACAGCCTGTACACATCTTCCAAAACATGAAAAGCCTGATCCAATAATTTATTTGGGTGTAATCTCATTCTTTGGATCAGATTATAGTGTAATTTGTCTTAAATTTGACATAGAGTTCTTACTATAAATAGCACTACTTTGCTTTCATCAAACATCCAAGTTACAAAGTAAAAAAAAAAAAAAATTCAATCAAGGAGAGAAAGTGCATCATATTACAAATCATGAATTTCAACAAAGTTTTAGGGGCAATTTTCCTTATTGTGTCTATTTTAGCAAATGCTGAAACCACAAATAATGAAGCTGTTGGCGACGATGGAATATCTTGCAAAGCAAAATGTATACTTGCATGTGCCTTAAGTAGTACTCCCCATTGCCTTGACGATTGCCTGAAACAATGCCAACTTTCCGTTACTCCTCAAGTATTGAACTGTAATTTTACTTGTTCAATTGAACGTTGCTCCAAGTTTAGAGAAGGTATAATTCTTTCCTTAACTTTCTTTATTTCAACAATTCTCTATGTTTGCTGACATGTCATGAAGTTTATATAACGTAATTCCTGACATATATTTTGACAAATTATTTGTAGATTCGAAGCTGATGGGAAACTGCTTGGAAGAATGTTCAACAAGATATTGCAATTAGCTAGAGAGACTATATGTATCTTTTATGCTTCTTGTTTTGCAAAAGCAAAGTAATGAAAGAGACTAGAACAAATATGATGTATTGATTACTCCAAATATATTAATTTATGCTCCTAATGAAGTGGAGTAATATTTTTGACAACTTTATTCTTTGAGTCTTCGGTCTCCCTTATCGTCTCTTTGGTCATCTTCCTATTCCTAATAAAGAGAAAAGGGTTAATTTCTATATCGATACATCATTTAGTCTCATTTCTATGAGGCTATATATATATATATATATCGTTAATGATGGGCTCATTAGTGTCATCCGTTAAAGTGGTATTTACTTTTTATCCAGTATTTTCAATGCTTAACAATAACAGCCACTAAGTTTATTAAAATTAATATAAAAAGACTGTGTTACCTTTTTTTGTACTGATCATTACGACAAGGACTTCTCCCAAGTCGAAGAGAGACTAGTTCAAATTCTTCTGCAATAATGTTTTCAGTTGTACAAGTTGGGCTGGAACTTTTATTGAACTCTGGTTAAGAAATATTAAAGAAGCGAGTTTGAAGGGAATTGTAATCCTTCTGTATTTGTTCAAGTAACGTTCTTAATCTTGAATTCTCTAGTCCGAGCTCATTGACTTCTGCTATGGCCGACTTAAATTCATCATGAACTAGTCTCACAGACGGCGACACATGTCCTGAACTTAGAATTACAAGTTCAAAAGTTAAGGACACTTGGTCATGAACTTAGACTAACAAGCTCAAAAGTTAAGGACAATAGGTCCTGAACTTACAGTTACAAGTTCAAAAGTTAAGGACAATAGATCCCGAAGTCCTGAACTTAGACTAACAAGCTCAAAAGTTAAGGATAATAGCACCTGAACTTAGGCTAAGAAGCCCAAAAGTTAAGGACAATAGGTCCTGAACTTAGACTAACAAGATCAAAAGTTAAGGACACTTGGTCCTGAACTTAGACTAACAAGCTCGAAAGTTAAGGACAATAGGTCCTGAACTTAGACTTACAAGTTCAAAAGTTAAGGACAAGTAGTCCTTAACTTAGAGTTACAAGCACAAAAATTAAGGACAGGTGGTCCTGAACTTCGAGTTCCAAGTTCAAAAGTTAAGGACATGTAGTCCTGAAGTCCTGAACTTAGAGTTGCAAGTTCAAAAGTTAAGGACATGTAGTCCTGAAGTCCTGAACTTAGAGTTGCAAGTTCAAAAGTTAAGGACACTTGGTCATGAACTTTATGAGCAGAAGGGTGTTTTCGTCCGGGCAGGTAAAGTTAATTAAAGTAGTGGCTAAAGACTAAAGATATTTTAAACAGTGGCTTAAAAGTAAATACATGTGTTATTAGTGGCTAACCGTACACTTCCCCCCAATTTTGGCAAACATAAGCGATGATATCAGTATATGTGTATATCTAAAAGATGAAAATGAACCTTTTTCTAAAAGTAAAGGACAATTTAAACTAGAAAGGTTTTAGAACAGACCCGATCCCCATCTCCCCCCTCCCCCCTGGATGGGACGTATTTACCTCATCTCGGTTACAGGGAGAGGTTCACTATGATGTGGGTACTGAACAGATAAAAGATCGGGATAGTCAGGATGACCTATTTCAACATCAGATGATCCACATCTTTGCTCATGGATTATCAATAAACCTAAATTTGATTCTTCCTGGGTCGATGCCCGTGTGGTTATTGGGATAGAGTGTAAATTCATCGGAGCTTTTTAGTCATAGTGAGACCTTTGAGAAATCACTTTGCGGGTCTTCATCATAGATAAAGAGAGGAATACGGGAGAAGATCTTATTTAAAAGAAGTGATACGATTCCATCAGTCAAAACATTTTTGGTTTTACCGTCTCTTGCTACTTTTACACTTTGCCTTTGGTCTTTATTTTCCCCAGATCTTTGACGATCTTCCGAAGCAGAAGCAAGCAAAAAGTTGATGTGTATGTGACATCTTACCTCTACCTTCCCCTTTTTATTTGATAATCGATTGATCCCTAAGGTCTAGTTGGGCACGCTTTGAAGTACCGATAATAAGCCGTTTGATATTATATTTCGTCACTTAAATATTATGTTTGTTTGTGGGAGGATTCAAACTCGTGATATGCTTAACTCACATGTCACGTGTTATCTTCTTGACATATCATTTTCCCAATAATTTTTGTCAGTAAATTACTAGTTTGTGATCGAAGCATAATTGATCGAATTTATTGGTTGTCGCTATGGTTAAAAAGATTTCTGATAATATGACGTCCTAATTCTGGACATTCTAACACACTGTTTGGATCACTGTTCCCCGTCGTTTTATAATGTATCGTATTGTACTGTATTGTATTATATCGTATCGTTTTATGAATACAATGTTTGGATAGATTGTATTGTTTGTTGTTTGGTTTGACTGTATCGTACTGTACTGTAACTGATAAGTTTACTAAAATACCCTCAATTGTTTTAAATATTTAATTTATCAAGAATTACTCGTAAAAATTATTTAATAAAATCCCTTTCTACTAATTTATCACTAATTATGTATAAATTAAGCAAACAAATTCATGCAAATTCTATCGAAATTAGTTGAACAAGTTACTAATATTAAAAATAATAATAAGTACACTATATTCATAATTAGATCATAAAAATGTTAAGTAGACTCCATTCAGACAAAAGTAAACAAAACCTTTACCTGAAGAGTATGGAGAAGCGACAGAAGAACAAAACGAGTTTTTCACGTATGTAGGTTATTACATAGGTTATAGTTGGGATGCTGTCTTTGAGAATTTATATAGGTTATTACACTTCATGTAGAATTCTATTATAGAATTATATGAGAAAGAGACTTTGCTATTATTTAAAATAAAAAAAGGTAAAGGGTAAAATAGAATTATAAAGTAATAAGTTAGAGCAATATTAGAAAGAAAAATAGGAAACAATTCCACCACACCAAATCGGTTGTTTCAAAAAATGGGAGTCATTGTTCCGGAACAATGGATTTAACAATACAATACAACCAATTTTAACTAAACAATCAAAACAAACATTATTCTAGAAAAACAATACAATACAATACAATGGATAACAACCATCCAAACAAGCTGTAAGTAAAAAAGAGTCTACGTTTTCTCCGTACAAGAAAAAACATACTATTTTCTTAACTTCTTCCATCCTCTCCCTCATGAAAAAACAAAAAACCATGAAATTGCAAGGAAGTAAAAATTAAATTTTAATAACTTCTTCCAGCAAGTCGTATCATAAGGATAAAATGAAAATATTAAAATTAATAGT